ATCAGTGGCAGGCTGATCTGATGATGGTGCGAGACGCATGCTTGAAAACGTCTTCTGACGCTGAACGCCCCTCGGCAGTGCTGGCGCGTCTATGAACTCGGCTTTGTCCTCCTCTGCACCGTCTGCTTCGTCAAGCTGTTCTCCCTGCCAGCTTGAAGTGCTGGAATTCTCCAGCCGTATTTCGCCAATGCTTCTGATGCACGGCGGCACCGTGTGTGCTGCATCTCCAAGAGCGCCGCGAGAGGTTTGTGCTGCGAGCAGTCTCGTCTCGCCGTCTTGCACTCTCGAACCTTTGATGCGCCAGATGTAGGGGACGATCTCTGTGAGCAGCTCCGGATCGCTGACATGGCCAAGGGTTGTGCGCAGACCGAGCCATGCTCTTGCATCCTCGAGCGCTCCCTGTAATTCTAAATTGCGTGATCGCATCTCAAAGAAGCACGACTTTGAGAACTTTTGGCCGCGTCGAGTAATGGGTGACGGCAGAGCAAGTAGTGTCGCATGCACCGTCGTCAAGAAGGAGTAGTGCGAGCTGAGATTTGCGTGCAGCCACTGAAGAGAGGGCCGCACAGGTTAGCACTGCTCTGTCCACCTGGAATGACACCTTAGTTGAGCTCACCTCCTCGCTCTCTGTCTTCAAGCCAGTGTCAGCAAAGCTCAGACCTTCCAGGATTAAGTCGCATTGCTCCACATCGTCGCAGAATGGCGGATAATTCTGATGCAAGTAGAGCTGAAGCATTGGCGTATCAACGGGAACCTCCGTCCACAACGCCTGTCGTAAAGAAACGCGACTTGCAAGTCAGGGCGGCCGATCAGTGAATGCGATGCACCTGGGCGTGCTGCTCACATTCACATCGACCTTGCTTGGCGCTCTTTCGCGGCAGGCAAGGCTTGGAGGGAGCTCCCAGATCTCGCACACAGATCTTGAACTTTCCGTAGCAAGCCTCGTGCTCTGCCCGCCCTGAGATGAGTCGTATGCGGTCTTGGAGAGGCCAGAAGTTTCGCCGGGATCGCCAATGCCTGCGACGTCGGGCCAGCAAGTCAAATTTGAGCGGCACACAGAGGTTGGCATGGCAGGCCTACTCACGCTTGTTGTAGAGTATCCTGCCCAGAGCGTGAAAAAGCGCCAATGAATGCTCTCTCCCAGTGACTGCAGAAATACTGTATGGTTGGATTGTTGAACGGCTACGTCAATGTTTCCGGGTTTGGAGCACAGGCACGGACGCACGCACCGATACTCTTGGCTCTCGCGGTCATTGCTCGCTCTTTGAGGACTAGATGTCGATATCTCGCTGCCGTCCGAATGACGCTTGGTGCCACGCTGGGATAGCGACGGAAGGACATTGTCCGAGCTGCCAGCAAGCTGTACGAGATTCCACGCAGTCCGTATATCTCCGCCCGCCTCTTGGGCTATCGCATCCGCAAACTGCTTTCTTGCCGTCTTGACCTGCGTCTTGCGTCCCTTGCGCGGGCTGGGGCCCGCATCAAGATGTCGTGAGATGACTTGGGCAAGCAAAGTCTTGGCTATCGGGTTGAAACTATCGAAGGTCTGTGTGATGTGAGTAGATTGACCATATCGAGCGGTGCATCACAACTCACCGTATCTCGGCAAAAGCCGGATTATGTCTGACCTGTTCGTTAACTAATTCACGCAGGCCAAGGGTAGCAGATGATCTGTCCTTCCAGCTTGCGTTTCCAGATGTAAGCCAAGCCTCGGCATCCAGTCGCGGAGTCACGTCGCTGACAATCAGTATCAGCGGTGTGTGTTGACCAGCGGGCAGCGGGCGATAGATGAACATTTCGAGTGCTGCCCGAAATGCGTGCTTGGTCGCCGAGTGCGTAATGTTTGGCAAGTCTTCTACCAAGATGACACGTCGTCTGCAGGGTGCCGCCTGTGTGGAACTTTGCAAAGAGGTGCTCGAAGCTCCCTCAGGCGTTTGCGAGAAGCTCAGGGAGCTGAATCGCGCAGCTTTGGTTAGAAATTCTTCGAATCGGCGTATCAAGGGCACTGTTCCGGCAACAAGATGGCATGTGAGCTCAGTGGACTTCATCAAAGGTGATTCTGGCCCTGCGCACCGTATCCTTCCATGAAGGAGACTTGATCCGAATTGGGATCGAAGCCGGGCTGTGATCCATCGGAGACCCACTCGATGATCTCAAAATCAAGTTGATCCTTATCGGACAGGGTCCGTATGACTTGCGTCTTTCCAGAACCCGAAGGACCGGTCAAGGCCAGCATTCGCTATCGATCGTATGGATGCTGAGGTCAGCACCTCGTTCACAATATGGGCATGTATGCTACAAAAATGTACGCTTCAGGCCGTGAGATGCCAGCTTTGAAAGAGTTCTGAGCACTCACCCTGTGCCTCTTCGTGACTGGCGACCCCTCGAATGCGTCTCTTAGCCAGCCCTCGACGTCAGCAACCTTGCGGGGTTGGACGGCAAGCTCTCCCTTCGCGGTGCCGGTCGAGCGAGTGGGGGACATCCACATCAGCACATGTACCTCCACAAGACTTTGTATCTCTCGAGAAGATGCCTGCCATCTCTTTGCAGACTGCACTCACTCTGCTCTTCGGGCCGTACCGCTCCGACCACAAGCTCTCGGCTCCTTCGAACTGTTCCCTCGGTTCTGCAGGTGCCTTGCCCTTGAGGTCTTGCTGGTTGCCACTCCGTTCTTGGAAGGGCTTGCTGTCCTTCAGGCCTTCTGTGGGACTAGACTCGTGTTTACTTATAGCAGCAGCTGACAAAGATGCTCCGAGATTCACCAAGGTGCTGGAAGAAGCTCCATTACTGGATCTTTGATTAGATGCGGAAGAAGAAGCAGTCCAGCCGCTGTGTCTTGGTGCGCTTGTGAACGAAAGACGTGGCTGCTTTCGATCCAGCGCGTCACTAGGAACTTCGGAAAGAGAATCGCTGCGCCGGCTGTAAGCCTTCTTGACTGGCTTGTTTGTCGTTTGCGCCTGTCGCTTCGACCTGGGACTTTGTCGAGGTGGAACCATGGTAGCGCCCCTCAAGTGCCCTTAACGCGAGCGTGTCACAAGCAATGCTCAACTCATCGCCTAGCCCATGATCGTTAACGAACTTCGCGTGGCCTAATGAGTACTTTCAGCTGTGTGTGTGATGAGCAGAAGAGGTAGAAGCTTGGAAGTCGCAACGAAGTGCTGTGATCGAATCACGCGCGATCAAGAAGCGCATTCAAGCGCCGCTTCTAGGCGGAGCATCTTGCAGCGCGCCCTTTCCGCGGCATCCGTCTCGCCGTAACGCAGGCAAACAAATATTGGCACATGGGGTGCTGTGTGCGGTCTGCACATGAAGAGTTCCGCCATCACTTTGGAGCAGCTACGGCTCACTGTGCTTGTTAGCGAAGGCGCACAGTGTGAGTGCTGGCGCGTTCATGATGAAAGCATTGATCAGCCGGAGGGCGTCACACGGACCATCACAATCAGTCAGCAGTAAGCCGTTCTGTCAGTGAGCGTATATGCGCGCGGGGGAAAGACGATCTTTGTAGCCGGGCGCGGCGTTCTTGATTGGCGATGTTGACACGCACACACACGCTCCTCTGTGTCGACAACTGCTGCTATGATCACGCCCCGCGTAGCGGCGCAATCTTGAATGGAAGCTCATCGCTAATGCTGCGTCTCGAGAGCAGCGTCTTGGCTCTCGGACCGCTGAGCTGGCCACTCAAAGCGGCTCAGCGATCATACTGATAGACTTTTGGCCGGCGAGCAGCGCACGTACAACACTTCCTGAGTGTGCTTCACATAGACGGAGATACGAGGACAACAGCGCTACATTGCCGCGCCACCCTTGTAATGTGCGCAACTCGCCGCAGCGCGCTCAGAAAGCTGTCGCATCCAGACTCTCGGATGCTGGCAACGGGCGCAGCATAGTACGCTGAACATCCTGATGTGATTCATTGCATCCGAAATCTGTCGCAAGCTTCTTCATCACTTCGGCAGGATGCCACGCTTGTTGCAAGTGAAAACGCTCTAGCTACCTTGGGCGTCAAGAGATCGTTGAAGCATGCCGAGGTTGAGGGAGGGTGACAGGCAGGTAGTAGGTACTGTTGCTTGGCGCTTAGTAGCCTCGAGAGCACTTCTCCTGCGTGCGACCAGGCGAGCATGATTGTTAGCGTAGTATTCACATCAGGGGAAACGCACATGGGAGAAGGTCAACTTACCAGGACTAGCGTCGAATAGCCATCAGGCGAGAGACACAGAAGGAGACAGATCTGTCAGCGCCAAGCCGTTGCTGGTGGAGATGCAGCTCGCCACCACCTAGCCTGCTTTGTCCCTTGCCAGCTTCTACACCAATGTTGACTTTACAAGGTCGATTTGCTTCATTCGCCTGTCACGCGATATGCCACGACTCACCGGCATCGTAAGTGATCTCGTCCAGATCGGTTCCTTGGACTTCGACAGCTACACCAACGAGAGATCTGCGCAGAGGTTCTTTTGAGGATGCGGCAAGCATCTTTGACTTGATCCTGGCATCGTCGGGAGACCTGTCGCGCGACAATACCTCTGGGGTCAGCCCCTGAGTCGAGCACAGTAACGCGGCTACCCTCTGATAAGATGCTGCGCAGCTCGCAGAGGCAATGCTGCGCCGCCTGCAACTCATGGCGAATCTGCTCAAAGAAGCGCTCACCAGGCGATAAAGACGATCTTACTGCGCTTTCCATCGTCGCCCTTGCTGAACTCGAAGTCGTAGACGGCCCAGAGGCAGTCATCAGCAGGGAGCTCCTTCAGAAATTCCTCGTACTTGTCCGAGGTGCTAGTCTTGAGCACAACAATTTCGGTCTTGTCCTCGCTCAAACCATAGATGATGTACTTGGTCTTGTGTCCCAGCTTCAGCGCTTGGAACTCTTCCAAGCACTTGGGGTTGACTTTCACTCCGGATGCCTAAGGACGCAAACACCGACACAACCACATTCACTTTGTCAGTAAGCTGATCTCCAGAGCGCTAAAATTCTCTGCGCACGCACCATTCTGGAGGGGTTGCTTCTGGATGCGAGCTCGGTTGCTGGGAATTCAAATGGCCAAGAGTTTCGGAGGGGAAGGCGAGATCGATGCTAATCACTGGACTCTAAAGCCCTTACGGATACGGAGGCTGACGAGCAAGCGCAATCGCGAAAGTGTTGTGGATGAAATGGGTGGTGTTATCGTTGTGCGTTCGTGTGATGAAAGCAGTGTGTGTATTTGGCGTCTTCTATCAAGGGCTCGCCCTGTAGGTACAACAGCTATAGGGATCAGTTCATGCCCGTGCGGCGCGATTCACTCATCAAACGCCCCGGCTCTCATCACGAGCGCGGTGATGCGCGCAAGCCCGCAACGTCGCGTGCATGCTGGCTGAGCGCTCTGAGCATCTTTCGCAGAGAGGGGCGGTCGCGCCCAGCCAACTCTGACTCACTGACTGTATAACGCATGGCGGCATACAGCTGTATCATCCTGTCTGTGCGGAGGGCTGAGCGTGCGCCATCTCAGCTGGCTGATCTTGGCTCCGCGTTGCCGCGTGGCGCGTCAGCCCAAAAGCAGCGGCACGTGACCAGCTGTTTCTGTCGTGGATCTGGGTGCCTGCCTGCCTCCTGCGTACCTTGCCCTTTTTGTGGAGCCTGGTCTGGCGTGTGTGGAATGCGTGCATCACTTCTCATCTCTCGTAGGTGCAAGAACGGGAAGAGGTCAGTGGTAAAGAATGCGACTAGATTCAGAACCGTCAGGACTTCAATGGCAAACTGGCACGAATGAAAACTTTAAGTAGCGTTGGTGGACACTAGGAGGCCACCTTCACCAGCGACAAGCCAAGCTAACAAGGCGACCGGTCTTCCTGCAAGAGTGTGAGCACATGATGAGGTGTAATAGGCGGTCATCAGAGCAGCGCGAGGTGCGAATCATGTTGTGATGGCGTCGAAGGCATTGACCGAGCAGGGCAAGCAGGCTTTCACGGTGCATATGACCAAAACATGCACATTCAATCTTACGAAAGCCGCGTCTCGTGTACCGATGTATCTAAGAAGCCAGAGGGTTTGGGAGCGATCGGGATGCCTGTGGGGAGCCGATCTCGGGCATGGCAAGGTCCGAAGGGTACTCGCTGGCGAGCCTTCCACCGTAGAGAACTTTGCCGTCTGTAGACGAAGACGCGACGCTTGATGTCAGCTGATACTCTAGGGACGTACTCATCACAATCGCTAGGCGGCGCACTCACGTTCAGCCTGGTAGGCAGCAATGCGCGCCTCGACCTCGGGGCGGAAGTGGCGCAACAGCCCTTGAACAGGCCAGGCAGCTGCATCTGCCAAAGCACAGATCGTGTGGCCTTCCATTGCGCGCGTAAGTTCCCAAATTTGGTCGATCTCGCGCATGTCACCTCGGCCGGATTCCATCCTCTCCATCATGTTCGCAATCCATGTGGTGCCCTCGCGGCAAGGTGTGCACTGACCGCAAGACTCGTGCTTGTAGAACTTCGCGAACCTAGAGATTGCCTTGATAACATCGGTCGACTTGTCCATGACAATGACGGCACCTGTACCGAGGGAGCTACCTGCATCCTTCAAGCCGTCGAAGTCCATAAGGGCGTCGTCGCACTTGTTCTTTGGCAAAATGGGGACTGATGATCCGCCAGGCACGATGCCTAGAAGGTTGTCCCAGCCACCTCGAACTCCGCCACAATGGCGCTCGATGAGTTCCTTGAGGGGAATACCCATCTCTTCCTCTACAACGCAAGGCGTGTTGACGTGCCCGCTAATGGCGAACAGCTTGGTGCCTTGGTTCTTGTCACGGCCAAAGCCGGCGAACCACTCCGGACCACGTCGGATGATCGTTGGTGCAGCGGCAACAGTCTCGACGTTGGCCACCGTGGTGGGGCAGCCGAACACACCGACATCGGCAGGGAAAGGAGGCTTCAACCTGGGCTTGCCTTGCTTGCCTTCCAGGGACTCGATGAGGGCCGTCTCCTCGCCACAGATGTATGCTCCAGCACCTTTGTGGACGTAGACGTCAAAATCATATCCACTGCCGCATGCGTTCTTGCCGATCAATCCAGCCTTGTATGCTTCATTAACCGCCTGCTGAACATGCGCCGCTTCGAGGTAAAATTCACCACGAATGTAGATGTAGGCAGCATTAGCACCCATCGCTCTTCCAGCAACGAGGCAGCCCTCGATGAGCTTATGCGGATCTCCGCGCATGATCTCGCGATCCTTGCAAGTACCCGGCTCCCCCTCATCAGCGTTGATGACCAGATATCTAGGGCGAGGATCCTTCTCCCATCCTGGCTTGAGCATGAATGACCACTTGAGTCCAGAAGGAAAGCCTGCACCGCCACGGCCGCGCATGCCTGATGCTTTCATTTGGGAGATGATCCAATCGTGGCCTTTTAGGACGATGTCCTTGGTGCGGTGCCAGTCACCTCTCGCCTGCGGTAGAGATGCGCAATAACGCGTCAACAGGATGTATTCATTTTAGGATGGAGCGGGGCGAAGGATTCAGCTAGCCCTGCATGGCTCCTTCTACTCACCTGAGCACCTTTGAGGGTGTGGTCATGGCGCATGTAGGCGTTTTGGAAAATGCGATCCTGGTCACGGAGACCTCCGTGACTGCGTTTAGGAGCATCCTGCACAGTAGCGAAGCCTCGAGCAGCGGTCGGGGTTGCAACTGAAGCAGCGGAGGTACCGGCAACAGGGCGGCCAGCCAAAGCTGTCTGGCGGGCGAGGGGAGCTGAGCACACCAGGCAGATAGCGAGTTTAGCCAACAATCCATACGATTGACTCGCTTCAGCACCCTCTGCAACTTACCAGCCCGATGCATTGTAGCGCAATAGCGTCGGCTCAATGTGTGTAGGCCAAAGATAACGGGTCGCTACGTGAGCGGGAAAGGGATCGGTGGACAGTATCGACAAGTGTGTGGTTCCTGGTGAGGCGTGAGGTGAAGCTCAAAGCAGCGGTGAGACTTGCACAGCAGTACGTTCGCGCGCGAGGAAGGTCAACAAAGCCGTGCTTGCTACGCCAGCCTCGATGCTCTGCGCTCTGCATGCCCGTGGCGAATCAGAGGCCGCATGAGCTAAGCCGTCTGCCCAGCTGGGGCGCGTCTGGCCGCCATGAGTCACCGAAGGAAGTCGTACATTTTGAGTCACGTGACGTTATTCATCACCGCTTACAAAGGCGGGGAGCCCAGTCGTGTATCTCGATGAGTCCGCGGTACGACACGTATCGAGCCCGCGGCATGCATCACTTCAAATATTCGCACAGATGACCCAACACCAGTAAGGCAGACTGGAACTTGTGAACTCGAGATCAACCCACGACTCGTGACTATAGTCGGCGGTGACATCGATTGGCATCTTAGCGCCCCCTTCTGACCAGCACTGCAAACATGATTGTGGTGGCAGCAGACAATGAGAACCTTTGGACAAGCAGCCGTTTTGAACAAGTCAGTGTTCCAGGTCTTGAGTCGTCAAAAGCGGCACGTTTCAACTTACCAGGTGCCTGCGTAAACCGCATGTTGATTGCGCAACTCGATACTTGGAGCGCGGCCTACTGGCAGACCTTGCATCAATCGGAGCCCAGCCTGGGTCGCATCGCCAGCTGCGGTTGATGGGCAGACGGTTCCTTCAATGAACACGTCTTGATCAACGACGAAGTCGAATGTACTCACTGAAAATCTCGTCGAAAAGCGCTGGCAATACGCGAGACTCTCCTTTTGGACCCAAACCTAGCAAGCCCTTGACGCTTTCTGTAACGCCTGCACTCGGAGTGTACAGGTCCTCTGACTCGGCTGCGAATGTGTCCGCCTGACCCGCAGGCGGAAGCGCTCCGGCAGGACCAGACAACCAATCTGCCATTGCCTTGGGGTCTCCATGATACCAAGCTCCCTTTGGACCATCGTTCTCTGGAGTGAAGAAGTTGGGTGGGTATATGCGCGGATACATGGCCGTGATGGTTGCCTTGGTCTCCCGCTGAGGCGCATACATTCACATCAGTCCTTTGCGCTGCATTTCCGCCACCTCAGCACGTCGTATTGACTTACTGTAGCTGCATCCTTGAGTCTCCTTGAGATACCTTTGCCCTCGATCTCTCTGTCGGAAACAAAACCTCGATTCACCAGCACTTCACCGCCTCCACCCGAGCGAGCAAATGGAACAATGATGTTGCACCCGACCTGGCCTTCTCTGACCCTCGGGCCCAGAAAGATCGCCCTGGAGTAATCAAAAGTGCCCGAGATATTCACGAGCCTAAAAGTCAAAGACTCTAGCAGCTCCGAGCTCAGCTCCTTGGGCAGATTGACTGGCTGTTTCTTGAGCTTGTCTTCCAGCTCCTCGATCAATTCGACTTTCCACTTCAATCTGCGCAGCTGCCAAACCCCAAGAAAGCCAGTGAAAACTGGGATGATGGCCAGCACGACCATCGCAGGGCTCTTGTACCAAGCTGGCCGTTCAGACTTTGCTCCTTGCCCGTGATAACTCGAAGAGTAGAGCTCCTCATACTGTTCTGCGGATCGTGAGCCTTGGCGTCGAGGACTTGTCGCAAACGAGCGACGCGAAACGCACGTTCTTCGCAAGGCAGAGCCAAACGATATGTGCGCGTGATGCTGCTGATAAGGCCAGACCAGTGTGCGGTTTGGAGAGAGCAACAGCTCTTGCGCCGGCCTCAAGCTCGAAATGACAGCTCGCGAAGAGCACATCGAATGAGTGAGCGACGGGACGACTTTGAATCTGAAGAGTCGTGGGTTGGAGGATGAACCCGAAGCAATGTCTCGCTGAGTCGAAGCCGAGAGTGCGATCGACGAGGGCTTTGTGAATCGATCGATGGGCGTACAGTGGAGTATTCTCGAGACGGTGGCTCTGTTGCTGTACAAATTGATCAAGCTCGATGATGGCGGGAACCGGTAATCAATCAATCAAGAATCCACGACTCGATCAAGAATCACGAATTCCTAATACTCACAATTCGCGATTGACGTGCCCGGAAGCGGTTAATCCCGCTGGTGGTGCGCGAGGCGGTCTGTGTTGTGGAGGGCAGTATCACGTGAGCTTGCGATCTGCCAACACATTCAAACTGTGATTCACATCTTCATTGTGTATGTAATTCTTGATTGATTGAGTGGTAGGCGCTCACATCCGTAAAGAGTCGAAAAGTTGATGAGTCTGAATCGTGATTTTGATTAGAGGTTACCCGCTGATTCTCTCATTAGCTTAGTCTTCGCACACAGGCCAATGCTGCCAAATTGCGCAGCTATTGGTGTCTGCGGTCCAGTCGCAATGATCAGGGCGTCAAGTGATGATTGTTGGCGCAGGAAAATGGTGAGGGGAGGAGTAGAGGCATCACGAGGCTCATTGAAAGTGTGGTTGGTGTGGGTTGGTCGGGCCGCACTCAGAATTGCAATACATGAGTTGAACGAAGAGGTACAAATTCGACAAGATCAGTAAGCGTCAGGATCGTCTATGGACATCATCGTAGAGGCTTGCTCTGAGGGATGTTCGACGTCTACATCGGAATCGGCTTCCCCGTTCATCTTCTGAGGAGCCACCTCGCCCGAGGCATCTGCCCCAGCTTTCTTACGAGCTAGAGTGACGCGAACGGAGTTTACAGTCAGCTATTGCTTTCATGCTGCGGCCGGCAAAGGCGCATGTCACTCACACTTCTTTGCGGGCCTAGCTGAAGGCGCAGTGGCACTGTCCTCTGCTCCAGCGCCTTCGTCTGTGGTCTTAGACTTTCGTGACTTCTTTGCAGCTCCGTTGGGACCAGGGCTAGCAGTTGCATCGGCGTTCTTTGAAGGTCTGCCCTTCTTAGGCGCAGATGCAGGCACTTCGACAATTGACGGTCTTGTAGGTGGCTTGGCTCCGAAAAAGTCATCCTCGTCCTCGTCCCACACAGCCCAGGAAGGACCGGCCGGTGCTGGGGAAGCTATAGCAGCAGCATTGGCTTGAGCTGTCTTCAGCTTTCGTTTGGCATGCAAGTTGCGCATCTGATTTGCTTTGTCCTGCGCCGATTGCGCTTCTTCTTGTTGCTTCCGCCGCAGCATCTGATCGGCTAGCTCCTCGTCATCAAGGAGCAAAGAGACGATCTCTTGCGGTTTGGCCATGCCAGTCTCAGAGTATGCCTTGTTGCCGACGACAATATCTTGCACCTCCTTTTTGTTGCGCGCAAGCTTGACAATACGCTCATCGATGGTACCTTTGGTTATGAGTCTGTACACGGTCACCTGCTTCGTCTGGCCAAGACGGTGGGCACGGTCCATCGCCTGCGAATCGTTCGATGGGTTCCAGTCATGGTCGTAGAAGATGACAGCTGAAAAGGCCAGTGTGTATCAGCGAGCGCTCTGGGGCGGACGAAGGCATCTCAACTCACTGTCTGCTGCTGTAAGATTGATGCCTAATCCACCTGCCCGAGTCGACAGCAAGAAGATGAAGATTTCTGGCTTGGTTTGCCAGTCTGTCACCATATCTCGCCTGTCGGAGATCTTTGACGAGCCATCCAGACGCAAGTACTTGTAGTTCCTGAAGATGAGGTACTCTTCCATGAGGTCAATCATGCGAGTCATCTGGAAGTAGATGAGGCAACGGTGTCCGTTTGCCTTCAGCTCGCGGAGGAGACCGTCGAGATGAGCAAGCTTGCTTGAGTCGATGATAAGCTTGTTCATTTGCGGCACCTGCATGCCTGCACCAGGCAATTGGTGGGCAGGAGACGCATCTAGCAGGCCTTTGGGAGGCAGACCAGGAAGCGCAGACCGCGCCAGAGCAACAGCATCCTCAGACTCGCGGAGTGCGGGCGTTGGCAAGCCGAACAGCATCTGTTGCACCAGAGTGTCTCGCTTGCGCCTTTCTTGGGTCTCTACGAAGCGCCGATCGGAGCCGAAGGCTTGTACGGGCGGCGCGACTGCTGATGCAGGCACGAAACGAGCGTCTGGACCGGCGAGAATCGACTTGGCGCCGTAATTCGAGGCAACAGAATGAAGCGGCACTACCTGTGACGGCGCGAAAGCGGAGCTGGCCGGGAGGGCTTTGAACGCAAGGCCAAAGGGTCGTCTGGCAGAAAGGGCAAAGTCATCGTCTTGCAAGAAGGCGGTACCATCTCTGAGGTCACTTTCTTGGCCCGAGCTAAGCATCGCGTTCGTCACTGCGGCGCCATGGAAAGCACGCTCGCCATCGCTCGCGGTCTGACCGAGCAGTCGCAAAGGAGCAAAAGCCGACGAAGAGGTGTCTAGCGAGCGATGAATATACTCGGTTCGCCAGATGTTTAACAAGTTGCCCAGGTAGTGAGTGTCGAAGCCGGCGCGACTCTCTTCTGCAGGTGTCGAGAGCAGGCCCCCGCCACTGCAAATCAGCTTGGGCAGCTCGTACGTGATGAGACTCTGCGTCGAATCAGGACAGTCGAGCACATCTCCTTCCCTTGAAAGCGCTCCTGATTGAGCGAACCGAGCGAAAGCGAATGGCGAGAGCACGTCTGCCCTCTCGAACAGTTCCGGATGGTTGCACACTTTTCGGAACTGCATGACCAGATTCATCAAGCTCTTCATGCCTGCTTCGTCTTGAGAAGATGCCTTGTCCATGAGCTCTGCGATGGAGACGCGCTCTCGCAGACCTCGGTAGAGCATCCTCTGTCGAGCGCTCATGTCGCAAAAGACATCGATTTCAATCTGTCAATGGTGCACAAGAAGTCAGCTGAGTTTTACGAGAACTGGATGACGCCCGAAATCTCACCTTGTCTCCAAGCTCGTTTTGAACGTTCTTCTTGATACGGCGCAGCATGAAAGGTTTGAGGATCATGTGTAGACGTCGCAGTTGGTGCTCGTTGAGGGTACTGCCCTTGCTCTCGCCTCCTGCATGGGTCTCGATGTCTTTGCTGAACCATTCGCTAAACTCGTCGTGCGAATCAAAGAGACTTGGCATGATGAAATGCAGCAAAGCCCAGAGCTCTTGCATCGAGTTTTGCACGGGCGTTCCGGTCAAGAGAAGCCGGTTACGGCAGTCAAAGCTGAGCAAAGACTTCCATCGGTTGCTGCTAGACGACTTGATGGCCTGTGCTTCGTCTAGAACCATGTACTGCCAGCGTACCCTTTTAAAGTACTTCTCATCACTGACGACGAGTTGATAAGAGGTGACTAGAACGTGGAAGGGTGCATCGCGGTGGTAGCTGATCTGCTTGCGGTTCCAAAATTTCCTGAGCAAGGCGCGTTCTTTTACGTTGCCCCAGTACGGAAGTGCTTTGAGGTTGGGCACGAACTTTTCGATTTCCTGCTGCCAATTGTGCAAGGTGGAGGCAGGCGCAATGACTAGGAAGGGTCCCCAAATGTTGTGCACTTCTGCAAGGTAGGCCATCAAAGATATGCTTTGGACCGTCTTGCCCAGGCCCATCTCGTCGGCCAGAATGCCATTGATGCCCTGCTCGTACAAGTTGGCGAGCCAGTTGAGACCTTTTAGCTGATAGTCTTTCAAAGCACAGGTCAGCATCTTTGGCTGCTTGAGATCCATTGCGCCCATCGACGAAGGATTGAGGAAGTTCATATCATCCGAGTCGAACGCTTTGCCCAGATCTCGTTGATCGATGGTGCGTCCTTCGCCATCTTCCCCGTTCGCGTTCGCGTTTGCGGCAGCCTGCTCCGCTTGCTTGCGCGCGTCGAAAGCCTCGGCCTTCTGCTTCGCGGCAAGCACCGCTTCTTCGGCGTTGCGCCGCGCATGAGCTCGGAGATTGGTCTCATCCTCATCGTCGAAGTCGATGTCCTTGAGATCAGCAGCAGAAGCGCCCGCGGCTGGTCCCGCGGGCTGCGAGTCCAAGGGAGGAGCCGAAGACGCACCAGCAGCCTGGCCGTCCGCGGGCGTGGGATCAATAACCTTGTTCCCTCCACTTCCGGAGGTCTCCTCAGATTCCTCTGCTTCATTAGTTTTGAGCTTGTTCCCGACGAAGTGAGAGTACAGCTCGGTCTGTGTGATCAAGAAGTTGAGTTTGCGAGCCTGTCGCTTGGCTTCGCGAAGCTCTTCCTCCTTCTTCGCCTTTTCCATGGCCTCTTTATCTGCTTTCCGCCGCAGCTCCTTTTCTTCCTTCTCGTTGCGCTTCCAAAAGACCAGCATTTCACGCATCACCTTTCGCGCACGGAGTTGGAGATCCTTGGTTGTGCGTGTGTTGCGCGTAGAGCCGCGTTTGGCTTCACGTTGCACAACAGCAGAAATGCGACGCCAGTAGGTGGACTTGTTGGTGGAGCTTGCTTGGACCGATTTGTAGACCTGCGGAAGCGAAGCCCAGCATGAGCAGAGGGAAGAAAGATTCTTTGAAGAAGGCGAAGACTCACTTTCGGAATCTCGCGCTTTGCAATTTGCGTCCAGATTTTGCGATGCGCTTCAGCGAGGACGTGTTCACGACGCTCGTCGATCGGAATGATACCCGTGGCCAACTCTTCATCCGCATCGGGTGTACTCGCCCTCGAAAAGATCTGAGTTGAAATGCGCGATCACAGTTCAGCATGCATCATAGCCGGGCCACATCGAAGGTCCTACTCACCGCTTCTGACTCATCGTCATGGCCGTCGTCGCCTTCCAGTGGCAGCACGCCCAGACTAGGCGATGCAAGCGGAGTGGCTGCTTGTTCCGCCAGGGCGTCGATTTTGCGCTTGCGGCCTTTGCCTGACCCTGTTTCACCTTCAGTCGGCACTGCAGCTTTGGCGCTCTTGCTGACAACAGCAGGGCCGTTGCTCGGTGTCTTTGCCTTGGAAGGACCACTCGGCTCTTCGCCAAGCGTGCCCAACAACTCTGCCTCGATCTCGCGTTCGCGGCGCTGCTTGCGTTGAGCTTCCTTGCGACTCTTTTGACGCGCAATCCGCTGCTTGGCTTCGACCTTTTCGCGATGGTCCACTTTGCGCATGATAGCAGCGTGTCGCTTGGCATACATGGCGCTCAGGTGCAGACCAAGCTCCTCCTCTTTCTGAGTCAGCGAGTTCTCGTAAACTTGCTCAATGCAAGCGAATCGCTCTGCCAACTGCGACTCGTAATCCTGCGCCTCCTCTTCCCACTGAGGTCTATTCTCCTCAGCGGAAAGATCGCTGTCCCAAATCTTCGCAGCTGCGCGTAGCTGGCTCTTCTTTGGTTGCAAGGGCTTAGCGCGCAGCTTGAGCTTTTTACGTGGTGGCGCAGCCTCTTGCGGCGGCGGTGGCGCTGGTGCCTCTGAGAGAGGCGACGATCCTTCCATCTCGTCAGAAGGCGATCGCGCGACAGGATCATCCTCCATTGCGCTGCTATCTGCCCAGGGAATCGCTTTCGAAGTGCCGTTGATGCGGGCTTTGGGTGCTTGCTGGCTGGGCGGTGACAGAGATGATGATGTAAGACGCGTCAGAGCGTGCGATTCCTCATTGTCGACGTGGTCGCTCGGTGAGGGGCTTTGAGGAATTGGTCGAGATGGACGTGGACCGCCTCCATCGAGGAGATGCGACATGGAAGCAGGCATAGCTGAAGTTCGATTTCGATCGGGACGTGTTTGACTCAGCAAGCCAGCGAGCCCAGCGGGAGCTTTCGCAAGGGGTTCTGGCGACAATTCGCTATTATCTTTCTCCAAATCTCCTTCTAGATCCCCGTTTCGGTGTCGAGACCGCGGAGGCGATGCGTATGCAGAGGGTCTTCCCTCATACCGCTCGCCCCTGATTGGGTCAAATGGCAGGTCTGCAGCTGAGTGTCTAGGCGGTGACACGTCACGTACGGGCTCACTCCGGGGTGGCGAAGGGCTAGGCCCCGTGTTGGAGTCTGTCCCACTACGATTGTCGCCTAGCAGCGACATGATGCTCATGCCAGGTTTGGAAGGCGACGCTTCTGGCGAAGGATCACGTCTGGCCTGGGGAGGCGGCGACGATTGGCGGAGGTAGGATGGAAATCGAGACTCTTCAAAAGGGCGTCTGTCGCGCGAGCCTCTGTCATATGAAGGATGCACAGAACTGCTCAACGACCCAACGTCCTAAAGAGCCGTGTGTGCGTCACAAGCGAAGGCACCCGCGGTCAGCCTAGCTGCGACGACAGCACAGATCGCAGCGATGCTCCACCCTACTCACCATTGAAGGTCTACTCCATCCTCGAGAGCTTTCGTCCGGGTATTCTGAGCGATGCGAGCCTCTCGAAGCCTCACGACTCCATCCACGCCTAGCAGAGACTCGCTCGGACTGTTCATGCGATCTTCTGCGCATCTGATCTTCTTCCCACCGCCGATGTTCTTCCCACTCGACCTCTCTGGACGTGGGACGCGGCCGAGATGCGGCAGATGCCGGATAGTCCTGCCTAGCACCTACGTACTGCCTAGAGTAGCTGGGGACGTGGGGATCGGGATGTCGATCTCGATCGTCCACGTACTCGTAAGAGTGCCTCTCGGAGCCGTCCGACCAGCCTGGCGGAAGATTCGATGATCGACCTTCGCGTCTGTGATAGTCTGAATACCTGGAAGAAGGTCCAGCATCATGTCTTCGTTGAGCCATCCTTGAAAAGTTATCGGCGCGCGCCCACCAAATGGTTGCAGCGCAATGACCAATTCGGCGGCGTTCCGGATTGAAATCCTGCGTAGAAGTCCTTGCGACCGCCTTGCCACCTTGCGGGGGCACTCCAGTCCAGTCCTACGATAGCGGATTGTTGAGAGTGTGCAGTGACGGTCAGTGCGGACTGAAGTGAGGCGTCTGAGGATGCTCTACAGCGCAGAGGGTGCGACGGAGCGAACGGCACAACAGAATCGACGACAGCGATGGATCAGCTTTCAGGGAAAAAGTGTGCCAGAGCGAAGAGTCGTGTGCGATGGTGCTGAGTGGAGCTCTCCTTTGGGACGTTCGGCTGACCTAGCTCTTGACTGCCAGCACCTTCAGCTGAGCGTGCGCGACCAGTGCTGAGATGGACGTGAGGTGAGGCACTAGGAGACGACACGGTGAGTGTGGGTGCGTGAGTGCATGGGCGTGTGCAGCCCAGTCCAGCTGTCACAAGCTGCAGACTCATATACAAGCTCGGGCCCTCAAGTGTCTCCGGCGGCGCTGTGCAAGTGATGGAGTTGCAAGGAGCTCGCAAAGGGACTGGCTGACCACGCCACTGAAGTGTAGCGCTATGCCATGCCATTGTCGCGAACCCTTCTGGGTGCCCGTTCCCGGCGGGCACTGAGGTGCAATCGAGATGATTGACCCAGACTCGCGTTTGCCGTTTGCAGGACTTGGCCTGCCAGCCAGCCAGCTAGCTGGTAAGCTCGATCTGCCCGGCCGAGTTTTGCAGAACACGAGGAGGGACTAATGACTGACTGATTTTGGGACGCTTTCGCCTGCTGCTGATGGGCAGGCAAGCCATGCAGCAAGCAGGCAGCAGGCAGCAGGCAGCAGCAGCAGCTGGGCTGGCTGGCACGCAGGCAGACATATGCGGGCGCGGCCTCCGACATGCGCCGGGGTAATGAGCGAATGAATATGAATATGCGAGGGTTTGGACAAAGTGCAAGCAAAAGTCACGAGTCTGAGTCCAAAGGTGGATCGATGACGCCGCTCGCTGCTGACTGCTAGTGCTGCTGCTGGCGCTGCATCATCCTCCTCCTCGCGCCTCCTCCCTCCCTCTAACTGCCGCTTGTGCGCAGGCTGCGTTGCGACTGCGTCTGCGACTGCGTCTGCGTCTGTGTCTGCGCAAGCAACAGCGGCGCCAACGTGAGTCAAGAATCGTGAATGGCATGACGGACATCAGACGGCATCTTCTCGACAAGTTCAACGCCACCCGCGCTTACGATAGGCCATCGCCAAGTCGTCATGCAGCAAGCAGCAAGCAGCAAGCAGCACAGCAAAAGCAAATCACGTTTCGCGACTGCGCCAGCGGTCCCTTCTGTTTGATCCAGCAGTCGGTCGGTCGGTCGGCAGTCACTCGTGACTGAAGTCAGATTCAGATTGCAGCAGAACGACGGCCAGGTGATGATGATGATGATGATGAGCGCGCGAAACATCGCCCCCATCTCAAGCCTGCGGCATGCACCCACCGCAATCCCCATCCACCATACGCCGAGCTCACTCGTGAGTTCAGCTGACTTGCAGCTAGTCCGAGCGATGATTACACACTTGCGGCTGCGAGCCAGCAGCGCTCACCTTCGTGATTATCTAGTCGACCGGATGGCAATCAAATGTGACGGGTTGTGGCAGTGAGCCGCCCAGGTGCCTGACAGACTGACACGTAACACAGCTATAGCTGGCTCACAACGGTCGCGCTCTTCAGAGCTCCATGTCCATGTCCGCATCGCTATGCATTTCGATCTCACTCGAGACGAGGCATTGGTAGACAGACTCTCATGCCAGCAAGGCAAACAGAATCGCACTCGACAGGCAGCATCACAGACACTTGGATCCTGGCACAGCTTCATCAGCGCTCTGGCCCTTCAAAGTCAAGCAGCGATCATCGGCCGGTCGAGCTTCCGTGCACTCAGAGCACAGCACACTGCTTTCGAGATTGCAGACGAGCTGCGTGTTCGCAACTTAAACTTGCTTGAGCGCATGTTTCAAGCTTGAAGAGCTGGATCGCATCGCTATGCCACTCACTTACCGCTGCTTGGCCAAATGGAATCACGCGATGCCTGGCATCTGCTAGAGCCAACGTCCTTGCGAGGGGTGACAAGTGACATATATTCGGCTCTTTAAGGAGGAGTAAGAGCTGACAAAGCGTACAATTTGGCGCTGTGCCAGCGCTAAAGACAAAGGCCTGTCCGTACGGATGCTTCATGTCTTTTAGGTCATCGGGACCAAGGGCAGGGGCAAGCCGCAGAGGCCGCCTCCGCAGCCGTCTCGCTCGAAGTGGCTGCGGGAGTAGTTTGTCCACCTGCACGATCAAGCATGGCCAAAGCTTGCTCCACCCGATCGCTATCGACCCACAATCGACGTCTCTTTACACGCTCCTCGTTATCCTCCTCGACGCTCCTCTCTCGCGCTTTCTCCGTTGGATTCCCTTCTGATCGCTCCGGCGGGGTGGTCGTGTCCGGGGCCGCAAGGCGCAGAGGCGTCGACAGAGCTGATCGACGATCGTCCGTACTTGAGATGGCATTCGACGGAGACGTTGGCGAGGTCGGCGACTGGGGAGAAAGGCGCGGCCGACTGCTCGATTCTTCCCCACGCGTGCTAGACTCTGGACCACGCACCAAAGATCTGATGCTGCTACTCGATCGGTCGGCCTGTTCGATCTCTACGCTCGGGTGGCGCACTCCTCGATCATTGGATGGATGGTATCGCGACGCTCGCCTGGTATTGTCTGGGCGCGTATTGGTCGACAAGCCAGATGTCGACTGCTGAGAGGGCTCATTGGCGCGCGCTCCGCTAGCCCTTCCCGAGACGACATCGGCTAGCAACGCTAGGCCTCCTCCCCACGATTGAAAGCGCGGATGCGATCGAATCTGGTTCCATGCTTCCGGAATGCTTTGCTGTCCAAGCGCGGCGTTGTGGGAGTGAGCGCGGTGCGACGGCAGTGGTGCGGACCGAGGACCTCCAGGCAGTGCGTGATTGCCATGATTGAGAGCCGTGGTGTTGCGTCCTTCCGAATGCTTGGGCACAAGTGATCCGCTCACGGTGTGCCAGAGGACAGAGCGCTGTTGCTTGGAACTGATAGGTAGGACGTTCGCGGCGACATGCGTGCTACGCATGTTGCGCAAGGGCACGGAATTGCCGGCATCCAAGACGACCGTGCCTAGCTCAGCTCCGCTGGGTGTCATTGCGTTCTGAGATACGGCTTCGCAGAATGCTGCCAAGGCTGGGTCTGTGGAGCAAGCCCCGCAGTTGGCCGGATCGCCCGAACAAACATTGCTGAATGCCTGACTTGCACTCCCAGTACGCAGGCGGAACACGGGCGACGCGGCAGCGGCAGTCGAAGTGCGGCTGACAGAAGGTGGCGCTGGAAAGAAGGAGGTGCCGGTAGGAGGATGCGCAGCAGAACTGGTGGTTGTCCACAGACGTGGCTTCGGGGGTGCTGCTCGGAGCGCGAGAGGCGCCGCGACAGCCGCTGGAGATTGCCCAGAGCTGTAGGCTGGTGTTGTCGGCCAAAGCTTTGCACTGCGGCGAGCGCCCACCGAGGTCGAAGAGAGCATAGAGCTCACACTGATGGCTTGAGGCCGCCGCACGGAGGTTGCAGCCTCTGGCATACGCGGCTCGTTCTCCTCGATCGGCTCTTGCTTGATGGTCACAGATGGGCCCGAAGAACAGTTTGGAACATCGACGTCCATGCTTGGCACTTCATCGCCGTGTGCTTCCTGCTTGGCTTGCGCAAAATCCTCCTCGTCATCGCCTGTCAAGTCTAGGACATCGTCACTGCACGGGCAAGGCCCGTTATCGGCGCAGAAGCCGCAATCACGATTGAGGCCTACACTAGCTGTGACAGATTCCGACGGAGGTGGCAAAGGGGTAGCAGATGCTGGCGTGACTCTGACATCCTTAGATGATGCATTGGCGACGCTATCACTTGGTCCGCGGGAAGTGAGCGCTGTCAGAGTTGAGCAAGACGCCGAAGGTGACGGTCGGCCTTGATGACTGACGATGCTTGAGCGCGAGTCACTTCTGGGCCGATTGGTGAATAAAGCATCGCTGCCCAAGACAGAAACAGCTCTGCCGGCGTTGCGGTCCACCGCACTGTTGCCTGCGGCGCTGCGACCAGGGAGGGGTCGCTTGAGTCTGACTGACGATGCGCCAGACTCGTGTTCTGGGGCTTTGCATCCGATCGTCGACGTCGTCGACGACGACTTGCCCTTCTGATCCAGCAACGCCTTGATTTGACGCTCCAACACGTCGACTCGACCTCGAAGCTCCGTATTGTGACGTCTCAAAGCATCATTGTCCTCCTTCATCCGCTTTGCCACGCGCTGCAGCTCGACGGCATGCTCGACTCCCTCAGCCTCGTATGCTGCCACCTTTGCTTCCAACGATGTAATGTAGTTCTGCTTGCGTTCGCGAAAAGCTCTCTGCGACGCCCTGTTCTGCGCTTTTCGCTTCTACGATACATGTAAGATGGACAGCGATCAGTGGGCCGATGTGTTCGTTCCCGTCCGTCATACAACCTCTAACGCAATCACTCACTGTAGGTGGCTCATCATCGCTAGGCTTGCGACCAGGCTTGGCGCGAGCTGGAAGCACCCACGCTTTGCTTGGTTGAAGGGTGCGCTTGATCACCGCATCGGTGATGGTCAATTCCGCATCGTAATCGTCGTCTTCATCAAGATCCTCCTCCTCTTCGTCATCTTCGACAGCAGCGGACGACCGCCTGGCGATGTGATCACCAGCATCGTTTGGGGTCACTGGAGTGTCGCGACTCGAAGAGGAAGAACCGAGAGACGATGAAGCGCTGCCATCTTCAGTCGACGTGGGCCTAATACTTGTGGCCGAATCGACGGGACGAGCGATGCTGGCAGAGCTTGGTCTGACGGCGATCTTGATTGGCTGAGATGGCGTTGCGGGAGAGGGTGGGGCAGGTGCCACACGCTGGGAGGTTGGTCGAGCTGCCTGCAGTGGGCGGCCAAGGCTCTTTGACGCAGCATGTCTGCTTTGCGCTGAAATCGGCGAGGGTGCAGGAGAAGGGGCGATGGCGATGCGGCTACGGACGGCGGGCTGAATCGCTCTGGTGCTGTGCGATGGAGCAGGCGCTATAGGTGTGGATCTGTTGCCCAACGAGCTGCTGCTTGATACGGGCGCCGGCGCTGGTGCGATCTTCGACATGATGCAGCAAATTCCTTGCGTAGACAGAGGGTGGCTTAGCAGCCCAGGATTGCCTGCTGGGGTGTAGCTACCCAAAGGCGACGTCAGTCGTGGACAATTCCCCAGCTTGAGGTCGAATATGCTACCTTACGTGAGGCCCCACGCAAAGCTGCTCAACCAAGTTGGGAGTGTTGCAAGCTTGCTGCAAGCGAAGCAGGTGCTCGGTTGCATCAAAAGTTGCATCAAATCGATGTTGATGCTACGGCGCACGTACGGGATGATGGTGTTCAATCGAAGATACTCTGCTCGTCGCTGGCTTGATGGAAGCGTGCGGCACACCCCACTCTTCACTTTCCGAGGCTTGCGTGCTACTGCGAGGCTTCTACGCGGCAAACCACCAAACCACCTCCTCGGAAAAAGTCACGACGGAAGATGACGCTAGTCGACTTTGGCTTTGCGGCTTCGGCAGAGGCAAGGCAGAAAGAGACACGAGAGGGGCATCAGCGTTGCCGAAAAGGAAAGCCAAAGCAAGCAGGTGGGGGACGGCATTTCCGTTTCAGTTCGACAGTCTGATGCTGTCTGTGGCTGCATGGTGCAGTCGGCGGAGTCGTGGCCGTTGCTGCATTCACATGCACCTCGTGACTCACAGCTAGCTGACAGCACTCACTGACTCTTGACTCAGACTGCACAGCAGCAGGCTGCTGATGCTGCTGCTGAGCGCACCTCCAACCCCGCGCCCGCAGGTTTTCTTGTCTGATAAAAAAACGCACGCGCGCGCG